GCCCCATTTGGGCGCCAGAATGTAAACTCCCCTTTGAGGTCACCCCTGACAGTGCCATTTAATATAACTAAATCTGAACTACCCACCAATTGAGCCAAATGAAATCCTGCAACATTACATTTTTGATCTTTAGATTGTCTGGCTAGTAAATATCCCACATCAGTTTTAGGGGGCATAGCCTAGCAGATTTGTATGGGGGAGACATGAGGCAAGGCAGAGCAACACTTGCTAAAAGCCAACAATGGAGGAAAAATTGCTCAGTCTGAAGCCCTGGCAGAAGGGAAGGGAAGTTGGGTAGGAAGGCAAGAAAAGGAAAGGTAAACCTTCTCATTTACAACTCCCAACCTTATAAGCCAAGCCACTTAGCCTAAATCAGTTTGTATATTTGTATGACGATCAATAACAAATCTCTCATATTATTTTTTTCAAGTATTAATGATGGGGAATATATCAACATGCTCTAGCACTATGAAGCACAGAACTCCACAGAGTTTTTTTTTTTCCTGGTTCTCTCTTATTTACACAGTTATTCAGGGAGTGTTTGAGGGGGAGATACTACACATCTTAATCTTTTGGTTAAGAAACAATGGAATGTTTGAATATTTCCAGGGCTTTAGACCTGATTTGAACAATGAAACTGCCTTGCTCATTTGCTGGGTTCATTTTTGTGGGAAAACATGGACATCTAAATGCTATAATCTTCTTTAAAAAGTCAAAATGGAATGAAATTTGCAGGAAAGTTAGCTCTTTATTAAATAATTTCATAGAGTTACACTGCTTTTTAAAATCTGCTCTTTGCTTTTCATTGGATTATGATGGACAGAACACAGACAAATGTAACAAGATGAATTTCATAAAAATGGGGCTGAGATTTTTAGAATTTTATTTCTTTAGCTCCTTCAGTATTTGAAGGAGTCTTTCTTGTGTAAACATGTCTGAACTCTGAGATCCACATGGTGACTCTACTCATTGTGTCTTCACATAGGTGGCAACTTGGGAATAGACTTTCTGATATGTAACTCCCCGCCTCAACCTATAAGAGTGTGTCTCCCAAGGAGTGCTTTCTACCATCTACTCTGTTATTTTTTTCAGTGTCAGAACTTTTTTTAATTCTTTCAGAACATTTGTTTTCCTTTACTGCTATACTATGGTTTTAAATAGTTTTATCTCTGTGATGTTTTCTTTCTATTATTTTTAACTCTAATGCTTTAATTTATCACTGTTTACACTAATTTTATTTAGGCTGAATTACCTCTCATCCTTAGTCACTCAATAAACAAGTAGCAAATAAACTTTAGAAACAAGTTACATTAAATCTATGAGCAAAATTGCACTGAACTGGAAGATATAAACTTGATCTCTGTCTCAGAAATCTCATGAAGATCTAGCAAGACAAAAAGATGCTGGTGACAACACCTCCAAGGGTTCAGACAGCTCTTGGTTCAGCATTCCAGGATTCTTGGCCTTTCCTCTACAATAAGCAGGTGGCCATGTAGTGTTAAGTTGAGAAGCATTACAGAAACAATGAGAACAAATGTTGTTTGTAAAATTACACAGAGGACTATCATTTTTAAAGCGATTCTGGACTCTGTAACCCTCAGTGGATCAAAATGTCCCAAAAATCTAATATGTCTAGGAATAGAGACAGGGCAGGTTCATCTCCTACATAGACAATGGAAAAAAAGGAACATTTGACCTGGTGATGGTACAAGCAGTGTCCTTCAACATTACCATGTGCAGTCATGGAAGCAATGTATTTGAGAACTATTTTCTACTATTCACTTAAAGAAAAAGCAGCTATTCACCTCTATGGGGAAAAAAGATGAAATGGGTGACTGAATACCAGTGTTGGTAGCAGCACACAAGGTGAAATGCTTGTAAGGAAGCAACTATTACCTCCTAAGTGAGTCATCTCCAGTCTTGCCTTCCTACAGGCAGTTACATGCCTCACAAACTGATCTTGGCAAAGCATTATTGTATATTATACAAACTACCTGTAGCTTTCTGGTAAACAGCATTGCTATGAAGGATACAGTTAAGTTGGCTCATAATGACAGTACAATGCTATAACAGTAGTTTCACCCTATCTTAAACATCTTTCACTTTGCACCAAAAAAGAATCGATCAAATCATATCTAAGGTTCAACGTCCCTATGTCTATTTTCTTAGCAACATAAAATATTCCCAGGAATAAAAAAATGCATAACTTTTCCACAGTAAACACAAAATACCATCAAGAGACCTGGCCGAAATATAGCAGGAGTAAACAAGAATTTTGTAACTTTGGAATTACGATAAAAATTATCCCAGCAATGCAAAAACATATATCATGAATACATAAACATGTTTTCTCACCTGTGGCAAGTGTAACTGGAGTCCCTCACTAGGAATAGGCTGGTGAGATGGTGTTTGGTCCAACTGCATATTAAACAGAGATGCGAGAGCGGACTGAGCTGCCCGAGCCTTTGCAAGTTTTTTGTTCCGTCCAGATCCTTCAAAAGTTTGGCCATCCACTGACACGGCCATTACAAAATTCTTAGCATGACTCTCTCCACTTTCTGAAATAAATTCATATTTTAACCCTGGTCGAAGTTCATTTAGTATCATCACTGGATTCTTCCCACTTGTAGATGCATATGATGATGGGGCAGGGAGAGATGACTGGATAAGGCTACTAGCCACAGCTGATGAGAGGCTGAAATCTGCACTGGAGCTAAAGGAACCATCTCCATTGGATTCCAAATAAAAGGAATGATCAGACTGAACTGGGTTTTCAAATCCATTGAAGAGCGTGTCTGAGAAATCGGCCTGGTCAGAAGTAAAGTCTGTATTTACAGAAAGAGTTCTTCCCATTGCTAGATGGGCTTCTGACGCATTAGGAAACTGAACAAAAGACCTCAGTGCCTTCTCAGCTGCATGAAGTTTTGCTTTCTTTTTTGTAGGGCCAGATCCTTCAAACGCCTGCCCGTTAACTTCTACTGCCATCACAAAAATTGGAGCATGAACTGGTCCTGTTTGGGAGAGAAGCTTGTACTGTAAGCCAGGCTTGATTTCATTCAGCTGCATCAGGGCATTCTTGGGCAGCACCGGACCTGGAGTTTTCTTCTTCTTCTTTGGGCGGAATTTGGAGTGACCATTGCTCCCCTCTTCCAACAGCCGCTTCCTGCTGCTGGTGCCACCACCATTAGGAAGCTGATTCCCCTCCCCGGCACCTTGCACAGTCCCGTCTTTAGGTGAAATGTTGTCCATGTTGCGGTTCTCTTTAATATCAAGGCTGCCTGAACCTGTGGTGCCCAGAAAGAGTAACTTACAATGCCTTCGTTGCAGGACCTTGTAAATGTAAAATTTAGAGATTCCTTTATCTACCTTTGCAACTGGTTAAGTGATGTGTGCTCAAATATTATTGTTATTCATTTATTAGCCAAGTATACAAATTATTTAAACCTTTTGCACTGCTAAGTATTGACAGTTTTCATTCTGCAAGCAGAAAAGCTATTAAAATGTATATGATAAGTGATGTCCTTAATTCTAAAATGAAAACAAACAACTACCAGATAACTTTCTGGAATCAAACAATTTTCTAATCTCCATCACAAAGAAGAATGTTCTTCCTCTGGAAAAAAATGACTATTATTTTGATAATATGACAATCTAATCCTTCCAATTATACTCTTGATGCCAAGCTTCCCTACAGACATTAATTTTCAGCATTCCTCTGAAGGAGCCTTCTATACCTGAGCTCCTCCACACAAGTGGATATCTGGCCATTAGGTTTCCCACCGAAGGACCCTTCATATTAATCCTGAATGTGCAGCCACCAGAAGGTATTTTAGAGTACATCCAGCAAGTGCCATCTTGCTTTCTTCTCACACCTCTGATGAATGAATGAGGTAGTACCTCTGATGTGTGAGACTGTTCCAAATAAATTTCAGGATACACATTTTTTTTTAAAAAAAGAGCCATCTTCATTAAGAAAATATTTTTTTTCTCATATCCACAACTATGCCTGCTTAAAGAACTAGCTACTGTACCAAGGGATTTATCTATAGTCTTTTAATTGGATGTTTATTTAGAAATTTCAATATTTGTGTATGCATGCTGAAGGTATAAAACTGGAAAATAGAGCTATACAGGAGCTAGTCTCTAACAAAGATAGATATATTTCTAGGAAAAATGAACAGTCTCTGATTCTTTCAGCCACAAAAAAAACTACTTTCAGGACTCCTTCCTGCACAAAGGAAAAGTAGAAAAGATAGACTAGTCCAGTGTAAGCTTTCTCAGAACTCAGTCTGCAAACCACACTTTACTTAACCCATGGAAAGGAAGGGGAAGAATTTGAAAGAAGGAAGACAAGATATTCTCCTGGCATTCATGTAAAACTAAATGAGGTATATAAAAGAAATACTATATCACACACTTTTTTTTGAAGAAAATGGTATGAGTTTCCGTCAAAGTACAATCTCTCATGACATGGACAGATATTTCTCAGTTCAAAAACTGTGCTCACAAATGTATTATCTTCAGAAAAATTACATAAAATATATATTTAGGATAGTTTTATACGAACAGTCTTTGTTAGGGAAGGGTGGATACAAAATGACTAGGTCCCTGACATATCTTTCCAGGTTGCCTGATTCCAGGTTATCATTTACTGTATCCATCCTACCAATCTGGTGATTGCCACTGCTATTTGTACTACAGTTACTATAATAATGTATTTTATATAATTTTATTGCATTTTTAAAACATTTTATTAATAATTACAGGTCTATGTATTTTATTGTTGTGCTTTCTGGCCCATAGGCTGTAATAATGGTTTGATTTGATTTGATACAAAATGGGCATGTTGGGGAAAATTATAAATGAAAATTCCCAGGTTTTGTGATTATTTTAAAAAATGAATTCAGAGCAAATTTGACAGAATGGATTAGATTGTAAATGTATGCCATTGTGACATGCCCACATTTGTACTGATTCATACATCTCTACTTCAAACACATTCATTAGTTCTGCTCATTTCCTTTCAATCTTTTCAGTCTGAATCCCTAGAATCCCTGAACATTATAAACCTCTGCTTAGCTGTATACTTCAGGAAATATATTGCCAGAAAAATTAAAGGAATTTATTTTGACATCAGGAGCAATTTGTAGATAGCAAGAGGCAAAGATGTATAATCAGACTGAGAAAAGGGTAGATAACACAATTCAGATACATGCATAGTAATGTATTCTATTCTTAGTATAGTAGTAACGTATTCATAGTAATGTATTCTATTCTATTCTTCAATTCTATACAACAGAATGGAAACAGAAATTACCACTGCAGGACAAGTTATAATGAGAAAAACGTGTTGGAACTGCAGTCATGCCTGGAATATAGGAGTTTACGGTTATAGGAAAAATAATATAGGGAGAAGAGTGTATCATAGTATCAACATATCTGGCATGAAAGAAATAGAACTTTAGTTACCCAACAGATTTGCTATAAATCAGTATTACTATTAGCCAATGACTGAAATTGCTTTAATACCATAAACATATACAAATCATTATGGACTTGGATAGAATGAAATGAAGTAACTAACAGTAACTAGATCAGCTTAGCGCCAAATATACTTTCAGCTGTCATCCCAAACTGGAAATCAATGTATAAAAGTACAATCCTTTCAACACAGACATATCATCACAAGTAATTGTGACATTAGAGTGGACTAGGATGTTAGAATTATATTAATGAAATATATTTGAACAACTGAATAAAATTAAAAAGGTTTCATAAAAAAAAATTGAAAGATTACATAAAATAGCAAAGAAATGGATTAATCTTTAAAGGCAGATATTAAGTATATATAGGCAGGTCATTAGGGAAACAACAAAAGTTAAGTATTTTTGGGCAGGAGATGGTTCACATCCTCTTATTTCCTCAAGTACTTCCTAAGAAGAGATAGTGCTACCAGATGTCAGTATGAATCAGTACTTAAAGTTCTACTTCATTGTTGGGGAGTGCTGGGCTTCAGGGTTTAGTGACCATGGTTTACTTTATCCTTTATCCTTTCTCAACCTAGTACCTGATCTGTGGCTGGCGATTATAGAAAGTATAATCCAAATATATCTTGAAGACACTAGTTTGGGGAAGGCAGCTTTGAGAGGAAACAACATTTCAACTGTTGGTCAGTGAGACAGCAAATATGATATCTGATGAGTAGAGAAGTAACAGCAACCTGCCTGTAAAAGTGTTTTATCAGCACCTTGCATCCTTTTTCATACAGGAAAAGTCACCAGGTTAAATTGCCTTCCCCATTCTTTATCTAACTGCTGATCTGCAAAGGCTGAACTCTATTTCAAGTAGGCTGTTGATTACAGATACCCTCCTTTCACCTTTAGAAATACAAACTCTACGTTATCAAAGAACAGCAGCCGAACCCTCAAGAACAGTGAAAAGGAGCAAATACATTCCATCGATCAATCGATCGATAGATGTAGTCAGTTAAAAACAAAGATGTAAAAGGGATAGCATGGCATTTCTTGTAAACTAGACTTTTGTCGTGCAATCACTTTTTAACAATTCTCTTGGTAAAGACTTATACATCTCAAGATGCCTTTCCTAGGATTCAAGCCAAACTGTTGGGCATGCTTGAGTATGGAAGGGGGCCTGGTCAAGGTCAGCACCTGACATATTTCCAGCATTTGCTAGGGCCGTTGTGTCATTGCTGGACCTGCTGGGTCTGATTCCTTATCTTACGTACCATCCATATAACCATTTGGGCACCCCAGTGTCCATATTACTCCAACTGCAAACCTCCTTTTCATGCTTCCTGAAGCTTATTCAATGGCAATTCTCTAACAGACAATTTGGCTTCTTGGCTCATTCCAGGGCTGCTGTCATGGGATAAGCTCACACATAGAAGGTTATCAACTGTAGCAACCTCACTATTTGTAGGTAGGTGAGGGCACTGAAGGAACGCTAATCAGGGCTCCTCTTAATTCTGAAAATGAGTCCCAGTGAAGAAAATATTGGGCACCTTCTGCTGCTCAAGTATCCACTCTAGAGTTATCTATCACCAGTTGCTCTGTGAGACTGAGCAAACAAACAAGCAAACAAAAATACAGCATATCACCTATTTTGAGGATTTAAGCTATCAAATAGGATATACATCTATTAAATAAATAGTTCAAAACAGAAACTTGGATTAGGTAGCCTTCAAATGCTGGGAAGGATTACCAATAATTCAATTCAAACTAGAGGCCTTATGATACACGCTAGTGCAAAAAATGACATGAATTTTATACTTACAGTATACACATGTAGGCAGTAAACTTCCATGATTTTTAAATAATACTTTCTATGCTATTATTTTTTTGTTAAAAATAACATATTAAATGTTAAAACCTTGATTATAACCCAGCAATTCATTGTCTCTTCTTTTCTTTTTTTTGTATTAGATGCCACAATTGTTAATTAGGCTTAGCAAAATGCTGCAAGGAATCCAGTGAAAAGTAACATTCTGCTTTGCTGGAGAAAAATATTCTAGAGATAGGAGTTTTAAAATGCCTGCTATATATACAAACTGTTGAAGAATCATGACTGGATTTCAAAATTTGATCTCCTGGATGACGTATTTAAATTTGCTTTAAACCTAGCAATTAAAAACATGCACACACCACTTCACCTAGTTGACAAAGCTGATGGAATTGCTATTAAATTTTCATTTATAACATCCTCCAGCAAAAGCTTGATAGGTTACTCCTTTCGGTGCTCAAAAGAACAGAAAATTAGAAGAAGCTGGATAGAAAGAGATTGGGTAAAACATACAGGTTAAAAAGCAAGAAATAATACTTTTACAATAAAGGCAAATAAAAGCTACAAATAGCTTCATATTTCTAAGAACTATTTCCTTTGAAATATGCTCTACCATATACTATATTTTAACTGAAGTGGCAACTTTATAGCAAGGTCGTATTCAGACATAACATGTTTAGAGCATTACATTTGTATGGTGTAATTTGGAGACTGTACATGTTTATAACATTTTTTCTGTCCCATTAAAAATTACAATCAAACAGTTTTGGAGATTTTTAGATTGCTTCAAGCTGGACTTATGAATATGTGAAATTTGATTATCACTGGATCAAAAGAACACTTTTGCCTTCAACCCTCTGAGTTGTTTTCAAGGCTGTTAGACAGGTTTTTGAATTTGCTTTGTATTAAGATGAATAACGGATATGTATGTCCATAAGCACATATGTGGCTCTTATAAATAAGAGAGAGATTTGTTATTTTTCAGCCCCATATCAGCTCAATATTTAAGATGATAAATATTTTTGTTTAATAAAGGGCAAAACCATGTTTCAAATTTAATTATTTTTAAAATAGAGAAATTAACTTTTTCTTCTGCAGAAACGCTGTCCCTCTAAGAACCCAGGAACAGCCCTGCAGAATCAGGCCAAGACATCCAGCGTTCTATTTTTAACGATGACCAAATAAATGTCTCAGGGGTGCTCACAAGCAAAAGGCAAAGGTGGAGATGTAGCCTTCTCCCATCATTGTTCTCATGCAACAAGTGTTTCAAGGCACGCTGCTTCTCCTAACCCATTTCATAAGGGCTAGAACTGTTATTAAGGGAAAAGAAAAAACAAATCGAAAATCACACACACACACACACCCATTCATATACATAAATATATCCTACATATTTTAATTCTTATGCAATTAATTTTTCCTTTAAAATAGTTGGCATTTGTTTGTATTTTTTACATTGATGTATTACTACTATCCACTGAATTTTACACACACATTTTTTCAGACTTCATCTTTCCTGATGTCAAACCCCCCCCCAAAAAATAGATTCATGAGTAAAGATCTCAAATGTAGTCCCATTTATGTGATGCAATTGTTTTGAAATCTAAAAATGTAGAATAAATTCATATTTAATTAAAGTAGTTTGGTAGCTTCTTGAAAACTGGGGAAAGAACTATAATTAATGTTAGCCAGTATGATTAGAGGATTCTGTGGTCAAGGCAATGTAGGATTAAATAAAGGGGGAAAAGGATTGTTTCAAAAAGGAAAATGTTTGTGAAAAGGAGACTGACTGAAAGGCCAGAAATAATGAATTCCTATCCTTTTAAAAATTTACTTGAATTCAACTCCTGGTGACTTTGTAAACACATCCCTGTGGGTTTCTTAGCAGGGATAGGAAGCGTTTTGTCACTGACCTCTTGCACATTGTTTTTTACTTCGCAATCTAGCCTATAATCCAGCGTACAATCCTAATATTCTTTGACAGTCTCCTACAATCAGTGATATCAGTTGTGGGGGGAGGAGCGGGTGGGAGCAGAATGATGAAAGATTGTCATCATGGTAGAGCCCACCCATTTTGTTGCATGTACTTTTAAAGCGGGGGAGGGAGTTTACAGCACAATGGCATAATGCTTAGACAAGGTCAACCCTAACACAATATATCTAGGAAGGATTTGATATGTTCTCCCACCTCAATAGACTCTAAATGTAAATACCTAAATATAGACTCTGCATGAACAATCAGAAGCAAATACATTGGTTTCAATGAGAATTATTCCCATCTATAAAAGCATAGATCATAGGAAGACATGCCCCAGTCAGTCATTAACAATCTTTGCAATCTGATCCTATATACACAATGAAAATAACTCAGACTTCTAAAGTTTTTCCATTTTGAAAAACATTCTTATTTATGAATAAGTGTTTTCTTAAAAATGTAAAGATTAAAATTATAAGTCAGGTTTTTTTATTTACTACTCCTTCCTTTACTTCTTATGTATTGGAATTGATAAATTAATATTCTTTCCCAAAGGAACTTTTTAAAGAATTCATCTTTTGAATCCAACTCAATACTAAAAGCTTTAAGTCTTTCAGCACTTTTTTGGAAATGATAGCACAGTTGCACTGTTTTCCAACACTGTTAGTGTGGATTTGATACATTCCAAATACTAATTTTCCCATCAATCACTGCTTGGGCCTTAATTAATTATTAATAATTATGTCCATCAATCAAGTAATTAATCAATTAATTATCAATATTTTGCACTGAATTAATATTGCTGGATGTGAAACTAAACATTAAAATGTGATTAGAAAATGTAAGTGAATAAGAACTTGCTTTTCCAGTATAATTCCTTACCAAAGTAGACACTAGTAGTACAGTGGTACCTCGGTTCACAAACGCTTCTGTTCACGAACAATTTGGTTCATGAACAGCTCCGTTCGCAAAATTTTTCCTCCATTCGCGAACGCCGGATCGGGTGACAAACAGGATCCGTGGCCATTTTCCCTCCCGTGACACGTGGTCGCGGCTTCCTGTAGGGAGGGGGACTCTCCCTCCAAGCAATAACCGCCTCCCCTCCCGCCTTCCTGTCCTCCATGCCAGAAGTCACCTCGAGCAAGGTTAGCGTTCTCTCTCTTTGTGCTGTATTTTGTTTCATATTTTTGTGGTTTAAAAAAAAAAACATATGGTTCAGAACAGATTAACCGTAATTACATTGAACCTTATGGGGAAATTTGATTCGGGACACGACCAAAAATCGGTTGGCGACCAAATTTGGAGGGGTCAGAACCCTTATGGGGAAATTTGATTCGGGACACGACCAAAAATCGGTTGGCGACCAAATTTGGAGGGGTCAGAACGGATTAACCGTATTTACATTGAACCTTATGGGAAAATTTGATTCGGGTTGCGACCAATTTGGGTCACGACCAGAGTCGTGGAATGAATTAAGTTCGTGAACCGAGGTACCACTGTATCAGCATTCTTATAGACGTTAGTTTTGGAAAACAGCAAATAGTCCACTATTTTAAAATTTTAAAAAAGAAAATTATTTATTTAGCCTCCAAAAGCATTTTTTCTTCTCCAGTATTTTAAGACTTATTTGTAACCCCCTTCTTTCAATATTGAATGAGACATTTTCATACATGAAATTGTAGCAGGTAAGTTAAACCTACTAATATAGTTCACCACTAGACTGTAACATAGAAAGATCTAGAGATACATCACTGAATAAAATTCAGTGTTAATACTTGACATAAGACACACACACACATACAAAAAATAGTAAATCTAGTGGCATCATGGACCTATTGATTTAACATGAAATGTATACACTTACTTTCCTGGTAATAAGAGAACTCCCTTTAATAAATCCTGTGATTTTGCAACTTTGGTCAAGCAAAGGGAGAAGTGATATTTACTGTACAGATCAATAGCAATAAATTAAAATGTTATATTATTTAACACTAGAATCAGAAAGAAATATATTTCTTTCAGTGTGTCAAAAGTAATATACAAAACTCATGTCTCACACACAGTACTCAGTAAATTCACTTTTTTAAAGAAAGATGAAAAATATACATTAGATTCTGCATGCAATGGATAGGGTATAGAGAGCCATTTTGATAACTACAAGGAATTCAACAATGTTCTATTTTTTTTTATGATATAGCATAAAACTGTTTGAAAGATCCTTTTGTCTGACATGCACAAGCCCATCTAATGGCATGGAATCCTTTTCCCTCCCATATGGCCCATGTATAGACTAAGAGTTACTTTTTTGCAGGCCTCAGAGCCTGGAGGAATCTGCCCCTTACCAGGAGAGGTGGGAAATAAATCTAGAGCATCAGGAGATCTTCTTCTAGAAGCAGAAAAGAGACTGGTTTCTGACTCTGGAAGTCAAGGCTCACCTAACCTGGGGCATGTATATGTATAAAAGGGGTGGGGCTTGGATCCCTACACCATGCTCACCTCTTTGTAGATTCTGACCTCACATCTGGTTGCTGCTGGCTTGACCGCAACCCAGCTAGTGGTCTCCATGATAAAACTTAGGAGGTGAGACAGGATTTCCATTGTAACACGGACTCCAAATAATTCATCTTGGCATTTAAACTATATTAAAGAATCTTCTTGCATGAAAATTTTCTCAAAATATTTTATTTTTTTCTCAGATGTTCACAAATTAAATATGGGAGCAGGGATACTGCAGCTACAGCTATTTCATAACTCTCCAGAATGAAAAATGCTAACTAAAACCCTGAACAAAAAGAGTCTAGAGTAAAAATAATCATAGCTTTTATAACAAGCTATGTGAAATCTTAAAATAAAAATAGCTAAAACCATTTCTAAAAATTTAGTAAGAGCATAATCATCTGTATCTTATGATAATCAGATGACACTGAAAATAATAGCTTAATACAAATGTTGCTAGTTTCACAGAAATAACTGATGATCTACAACTTGTCATATCCAATATTTAATGTTTGTCTAGAAATTGTAAAACTGGTTTTAAGAAACTAGTAGAAACAGAAACTTGGTATAGCAAAATTAAAAAATAAATAAAAATATATCATTAGGCATACAATTAGCCCAAGAGTAAGAATATAATCGAATGCATGCCTACTCATAAGTAAGGCCCAATGAGTTCAATAGTATGTATTGTTAATAATTAACTAACATTAACTAAGTTAACTAAATTCAAGGGGACTTAATTGTCAGAGAACATGTATTCTGCATATTCATTCAAACCAAAACAAGTAAATATTTAGTGAAGCATATTATAGTCAGTGGTACTAATGTACCACTCCAGGAGACTGCCCATTATCCCTAAATGCTATCACTATATCTTACTTCATACAACAAAAATAGGAAAAATCCTTCTGATTTCACTAAAATCTGAAGGGAAGTTTTCTCTCTATGAAAGAGGAGTTAACAGAAGTACTCTGCAGAAAGCATACTGAGGACACCTTACTCATATTCTCTTCATCATCTATGTCCATCATGAAATAGTTGTTCAGGCTTCTACAGTGGTGCAGATGGCTTTTTTCTGAAAGATAAAATAGAATAATTTTAGTATGTTTTAGTAAATAAGATTTGGTACTATTAGCATGTATATTGAAATGTATGTTACAGTATATTTTATACTGCACTGTATTACATATAAATGTTTATGTTTACATAATTTACACTCTAATACTTATTGATAATTGGAATTAGGCCAGATTAGGGTTTGTTTTTTTTTAATTTAAAAATCCAGGTCTGTTCTTAACCTGCTTTAAACTTCAAGGATTTTTTATTTGTCTATATTATAATATTTACTTATTTTAAAAAACAAATAAGTTGGCGTGTGTGAGATTTTCCCACTAAATCCTCACAACAATGACAATGTTGTGACTCTGACAATGACAAAAGTGAGTCTAAGATCCTGCCTGACTGTGGTTGAATGGGAAGATAAACCCCAAAGAACTTGGCAAAATTCTATCCTCTAATTACAAAGTAGGTAGCATGAACTATCCTGGGCTTCATGCCTTTCTTGCTACCTATTTTATTAGTTCTTTCTTTACTCTATCATAAATTAATTGATCTTGGACCAATTGAGAGTGACAGATGTCAGAGCCCAAGGGACCTTGCCTGATCCTGGTTAGCACTTGGATAGGGGGACTATCCAGGGAGGTAGGCTAGGTACTGGGTACTTGAAAAAATATCCTGGTAAAAGGAAATAGCATTGATTCATTTAAAATAATATTTCATACATTTTGATAAAACATTTGTATTAAATTTATTTACCAACATAAAATATCAGTACAATTAAAGATACATTTTAAAGTTAGCACAAATAACCACACATGGGGGGGGGGGATTTATACCCCTGTAGGAAGAACAACTTAGAATTCTGCCCTAAATGAAACAGTTAATATGTTAGAAAGGAAATTTTAAAAATATTTTATTCCGGTACAAAACAAGGTTCATTCTAAGTATGAATCCTTAAAAGTTAAGCTAGTACCAGAGTTAAAATAATGCAGCAAGATACTAAAGTTGTTCCATCTATACTTCTTGATGGATTGTACTTCCCTGTATGAGCAGGTACACAACCTATGCGTTATCCTGGATTCAAAGCTCTTGCTAGAACAGCAGGTTGAGGCTTTCCCCAGGAGAGCCTTTGGCCAGCTTTGATGGTCCACCAGTTGTGAAATTACTAGGACAAAAAAGCACTGAAAGCCATGATTCACACCTCCTGGTTAGACTACTGCAGTTTGCTCTCCTTGGGACTGCCCTTGACTTCCCTACATATGTCGGAGAATGCAGCTGCCTCTTTGCTGGCCAATGGAAAACAATTCAGCAGATTAACAGTAATGTTGCCGGAACTGCACTGGCTGCTATTGAGCTTCTGGGTCCAATCCAAGGGTTTGATTATTATCTGTATAACCCTATGCGTCCAGTTCTTGTTACCTTTGGGGCCATCTACTCCAAATTGAATCTGCCCACCCAATATTTGCTAACCAGAAGGGGGCTCTGTAAGTTTCCCTCTTACAGCTAAAGGGGAAGGCGCTCAGAAATTACCTGCTTCGTAGCAGCCCTACCCACTCTGGAAAAGCTTGCCCTCCCCAAAAAGGTCAGGATGGCCCCATCCTTTTAATGTTTAGGAAAGCAATAAAATGGCATTCTTCCCCAAACCTTCTGGTGAGCAGAATACCAATTAGGTGGTTAGCAGTAGGGTTTTCTGTAGTACTAATTGCTTTTAATTAGTTTACATTATCATGTTTTTATGACTGTAAGCTGTCTAGAGTCAAGAAAGTATACAGCATACAAATAGCTGCGTAAATAAATAAATGGTAGAAGAGTCATGAAGCTATGAAAGAACATGTATGAGCTAATTGTATGTGATAGTATATGCAATTTATGAAACAATAACAGACCATACGTTTGTCTGGGCATGTCTGCTATTTGCAGGAGGCTAATAAATAAAGTCTCATTGCCCTGTGCATACCTATTTTAATTCTTAAATTTGACGTGGAAAGCCTAAAGTTTTATTCTGAGATAGCAAGTCCACAAGTGGACTTATGGAATTCAGGAAAGCTGTCCTCCAATTCACTTTCCTGAACGCAGATCAAATTACAAAATATATTCTAATGTCTGCATATGATTAATAAAAATAAATGCCATAGCAATCAATACTGTATCAAAATTGTCCAAAGCCCATCTACATTTACTTAGTGTCCAACTTTGTCTCATTCTGAATCTAGACATCTACTAAGTTCTGTTTTCAATTTGTTTCTCTAGCACCCTACAAGTGGTGATACAACCACAGCAGCCATACATTTTTTTTAAATGCTGTTTGCATAAACAGCAAGGTGAAAAGGGAAGAGAGAAGATATTGGATTCATCTAACAGGATGTGATGAATCAGCTGTCCACAGATGAAAGAGATGAAGAAGATGAGACTGTTCGCTGTATAGCTACAACTTCACTTGACCTAGCATCTTATTAATCTTTCATCACTTATCCTTTCCCCCTAGATATTACCTCTTTTATCTGCCCATTCTCTTTCCAACATATTTCTTCATCCGTTTTAAGAAACAAACTCAGATTCATTCCCAGTAAATTATTCTTGTATTGCATCAATTAGTTATTTTTATTCCATTGTTATTTCAATAGAAAACTTTTGTTTTCTATCTAAATCACTATCTCTGTCTTAGCTTGTCTTATGTCTCTGTATTAGTTTACACAATGATCCTGGACCCACATTATCCCAATATTTTGGTTCATATGTCCTCGTCCTAATATTATAGGCAGAGCCGTTATGGCCCTC